GATATTGCATCATCTGCCTGCACGGTGTTGTTACATTCGGACATTCCTCCCTCTACAACCTCGTGCGTTAACTCCATTCATAGCCGTGTATGTCACATGGTTGCATGATAGAAAGTTTACCGATCAATATAAAGCTTTCTTACAATGCCAACCAAAAAGCGCTTGGAGCTTTGGATTTCTGAGGTCTTCGGCTTCATTTCTGCCTATATATGTTACAGATTTTTGTTGCTGTCTTGCAGTGACATCATGAGCTTTGAGGTATAACACCTACTCTTCTATAATAATCAACAGTGGTGACACTATTACCACACTTGATGGTCGCAAGGTCGTTAAAGTATAACAAAATGATTTACCATTTCCAGTGCGACTAATAACGAACACATCAGACTCAGAACTAAGTAGTTTGAATAGCTTTGCTCTAAATTTCTGTGAGTTGAGATGTATGGATATCGTTGATGTATTTCCTCGGCACCCAAGTCAACACAGCTTCCACTGTGAGCAGCGACATTTATTCTTGGGCGGGCATTTTCACCGTAAGGCAACCATCATGGTGAAAACAAAGGCCAAAAACTCTCAGAAAACTGTACTTTGGGATGGTTGTTGATAATCTCCTGGACAGTGTAACAAGATTACCCCTACATATGCAACATATTTAAATTTGGTTGTTTAGGATTACTTCAAAGTTAAGTTTGTGCTGTTTTCTTTTCACCGGTTTTTCAACTGTCGTTTAGCAGCATGGAGCATCTTGTGACCGAGGATTTTGATAGCTTGGCCAAGCGCGTCGATGAAAGAAGCAATATGATTGACTGTTAGTAAACTGATTCTAAACTGTGAGGGCACTGTCACATACACATAGTCCTAATTAAATACTTCAAGGTGATAGTAGAGTGCTTCACCGGAACATTCACCTTGGAAATTCAAGATGATGATATTGCGAACTTGGCAGGAGTGACCATTGCAACACATTTTTGAGGTATTGTTGACTCATTGCAAATGTGCAACTTGCCAGCAACTGACAACTAAATAATGTTGGTTGCAGCCATGTTTGTTATGATATTGGGTAGTGCAGCTTTTATGAGTCGTTGTGTGATTTAATCATGCATGCGCCATCCTCATCAAGACTTGGAGGAAGACTGACTTTGACATAATCACCAGGCCAAATAACTGATGACATTGGAGGAGACAGCAAGTTGAATTGAGTACCTATAACGAATACACTTCAGCTGCATCCATAGTACAGTATACCCTGACTTATAAACGTAAAGTTTAGTCTAATCAGAAAGGTAGTAAAAGTTGTCGCCTCTTAAATGACTAAAATAATAAGTTATGCTGTTCAATGCATAATCTCAGGGATAGAATTTCATGTTGTATACAATCCGAATCAAGACTGGGTATCTTGTCTGCCAGACTAGCGGGGTCCACAGCATTTATAAACCTTTACACACAGCACAAATCTTTAGGCATTCAACTAGAATTTTTCATGAGAGCAGTTGAGATGTTTTTTATTGGTTCCAGAAGTTTTTGAATATACCCAAGTTATATCTCTCAACGTCTGCCTGTGAGTAATTTCTCAATTCGATATCACGCTAAACTTGTTGAAGAGTTCAGACAAGTACTTTTCCTGTCTCTAGCTCAGTATGCACATATGATTGAGGTCGCTAAGGTGGTGATTACCAATTATTACGCTTTACCTCTCCCGTGAATGCTCAATCAGACCTTGTGGTTGATGAGTTCACATATTGTCTACATTTATTATGTAAACTGATCCATGTAGTGGTCACCCTTCATACCCAAACAAGCCTGCTTTAAAACACCATGTCATTTGTACCAAGCTATAACTGCTATATCGTGAGTTACAATCTGAGGTTCAAGGCGATAGTGGAGATTCTGCAGACCAAATTCTGAAGAAAATAATCTTCAAATTAGTCAGGAATACCCACCATGATATCTGTGATCTCTACACTGCTGGGTTCAGGCAAATCGGGTGATAATACTTGACTTCTGAGATGCTGGACAATATCTATCAATCAATGATTGTGTCAAGTACTTTGTTTGTTTGGGTTTTGG